CGTTGTCCGCATGATACGCTATTAGCAGTAAAAATTCTTACAGATGACGAAAGCAAATAGGGATGAGAGTTGTTGCAGAGGATTAAAACGGTAGGTCTCCGTACTCGTCCTTGAGGGGACACCGGGTGAAGGGCTGTCCATACTCGACGCAGCACATGCAGCGAACTGAAAGTATGAAAGTTCCGGCGCGCCCGTACGCTTCAAGTGAGGACATCAACCACGCCAACAGCAAGGATTTCCTCCTTGTCTCCTCCCTTTCGTGTCTCTTCCCCTTTCATGTTTTCGTAAAGTTGGGGACTGACAACAACAGCGGAGGCCTCGACGACAGACTGCAGAGCATGCGAGTGACTGTCCGGACCCACGTGATAAGCGTGCTCCAAGCTTCTATCCCAGGACAGATTCCCTCCCTGGACACGGAAACAAAGGGTGGCTTTCCGCCCAGAAAAAACCAACGTCCCGAGGCAGACCGGAACCAGAGGAAAAATTCCACTTACGGCACAGAAAATGCCATCCACTTCATCCGCTGTGTCCTGTTTGAACAGCCCTTAACGCTTAGAAAATAAGTCATGATAATTGACTGATAGCTAATTTATGCTACATTGCAAAAACTCTAAATTGATTCCAAAACCCTGGGATGAAGTTATGTCCACTAAGCTCGGAAAGTACAATACTTGAAACGAAACTATATCGAACGCTCTTACGAAGTCAACTAAACATGCAGGTCACAAAGGGTAAACCAATAATTCAAAAATATGTAATTAGTAAATTACGTATTTGAATGATGTTTACAAAACCCGTATTGACTAGTTGCGAAGAAACGGTTTAAATTTGAGCGACTAAAGGGATTAGAATACACGGGGGTGCGTGTAAAATCCAATATTCGATCTTGCATCCAATTTTAGAGCGCAGCTCTTAGGCGCCCGTTTCCGGCTTGAGCGGCGTCGCCGTCGCCATCGGTGTAACCGCGCGGTGTTTTATGGGACGCGTAACGTCACTGGGGACATCACTGATGACGTCATCGGTGACGATGACGACGACGACCTCACGATGACGTCGTCACAATGACGTCATCAGTAACGCCATTAGTGGCGTCACTCGTGACGTCACGTGTGACGTCATTAGTGACGATGACGATGACGTCACACGTGACGGCACTGATGACGCCATTCCGATGACGATGAAGATGACGTCATCGTGATGATGTCATCGTCATCGCCAAGTGACCCCCGTGAGGTCACATGACCCTCGTGAGGTCACGTCACTCTAGTGAGGTCACGTAACCCCGTGAGGTCACGAGGATCACGCGACGTCACGAAGGTCACGTGACCTCACGGTTACGCCGACGCCGCTCGGAGGGAGGAGTAGATGGCAGGATGAGGAGGTGAGGAGGAGGATGGAGGGGTCTACCCTCCCCTCAATACCCTCCCCTCCTCCTCCTCCTCAAGAGCTGCGCTCTACTTCGGCGTTACAGGGAGTTGTAAACGGCTTTCCTTTTTTTTTACTCCGCCGTTTTCTCCTTTCAGGCAGACGCGTTTATAAGAGATACGTTGAAAGGTGATCATGCCCCTCAAATCGTACCTTATAAAAAGCTGCAAGTCTTAAAATTAACCAAGTGGAACTCATCTGATGTCATTAACTTCTCAACACTAGGAATCGATCAATTGTATTCAATAGAATATCACCTCATGCGGAAGTCTGTAAGGCTGGATCTTTCAAAGTTTCACTGATATTTTTTTTTAACTGGTGTACTCAAGAACAATAATAAAATGCCTCAAACAGACTGTATTTTACGCTATTTCAAAAAGCAAGAGCAGAATTGACACACTTATCACTATAACCATTAATCCTTTCCATCAATCAGAGAATGTAAATCTGAGCTGCCCTTGCGATTTACAATATTCATTTTTAATACAGGCGTATAAGCAAGAGGTCAGCACTTGGATATGCTGCAGCTTGACGTTGCGCCCAAAAACAAGTTAATAAGCGAAAGGCTCTGAAATACATACCGAGAGTTGACCATTCAATGCAAAACCTACCTGGCTCTCCGCCCAGCGTCAGGGTGCATGCGAATAGCAAGATCCGAATAACGTTCTAACGCATTCCTTGTTGTCACCCCGGTTATCGCGTGTTCTTCTTACACGCCCCTTTATTTAGTACACACGACTTCCTTCGCACTCGTAACTATATTAGTCTCCTTTTCACCATGTGGTTCAGCGTAACGTTCCCATTATGTTATGGTTCGCCACAGTTATTTTTGTTTTCAAAGAAAGAAACCATATCACGATAGCTGCCTTCTGATCCGCATAACGTCATATGCGAATCGTGAACTGCGATGTGTCTGCTTGCAAGCTGAGCATCCTTAGAAGGAGAATGATGGTACGCATAAATATTAAATTCCCTTTTCCTTTAGTACATCACAAGTTGTGATGTACTAACCCTCCTAAACACAACCTCCTAAACAAGAGCGTTAACTTTTTTGCAGATAAAATCGGATGTACGCTTACTTTTGGTTGCGAAATATATTGACGAGATTGATCCCCAAATTTTGTAAAAGGTTTCTCGATGCTACCACCTTCCTGCGTTTGTTCAGATCGCCCTATCAATAAAACATCTTAAGGTCCATCTGAATTCAAAAAAAAAAAAGGAAACAGATGCTTGTGCTGACTGTTTTCCTGCTGGAATTAATGCTTTCAACACAAAGAATAGTAGTAAGCATATTTGCAATCAGCTGCGGTTTAGATAACGCCATGCATGCATTCGGTTCTTCCCACAATAGTAGTTAAATTCAGAAACGTTATTGGACACCAGGATACTAATCAATGTATTAATCAAAACACATGGCGTCTCAGTGAAACGCACCGATATGCTGCGTTCTATAAGGCTTCGCCAGTCTACATTGCCGTCTTCCTACCGATATCTAAGAAGATTTGCACAGAACGCAGCGCACCGTTGCAACTATGCCAGCGATTCACGCCGCAGAGTTTATTGACTTCGCAGCGCTTCGATTGGCAATATACCAATTGAAGAGGCCGCCCTCTTTATGCCGACGTGGCGTAACATCTCCCCGACCCACCTTAGTCGCATTGAGGCGTTCCGCCTCTTGCGCCAACTCAGTGTTGTAACCATTGCTCAATGGGCGCCAAGGCCGCTCGACACCATTTGCCACGCGCGACCCCGTTGAACGCAAACACTGTACACGCCCAAATCTGCGCGATATGAAGGTCGATAACGTCGGTACAATATGCTGCCGGCAATCTCCTTGGCCGTCAAACTCCGCAGAGTGACCCGTTCCTGGGTTAGTATTCGGAAGAGCATATGGACTCAGTCAACAGGGTCAGTTTCGGCACTTTGAATGGCGCTTTTTTATGAACGTAACATCACCTGTTTACAGAGGCAGAGAGGAAGGGGGAGGAGGTAAATACGCCCCAGTAATTAACACGCAGCTCGTTAGTCGAGTCCTAGATTTGCTTCCCGGATGGTGCGCCAACCTGCTCCTAAACATTGTCGTGTTCTGGCTCCTGCCGCGAAAGGCAAGTTTTTCCAACGTAATAGGATACAATGCATCGTATTACATATTTTATCGATAAGCAGATGATTGCGACGCTTAGTCGGTCTTGAATACTGCCTCTACCTCCGCAATACAGCATCAAATTAAAAGACCGAAAATTTCATTCATGCCTGAAAGGGAATCGAATGAGACCGAGGTCATCGCAGCTTTGGAGAAATTTAGTACCTGCTTACATTTGTGGGCAATACGCCGGCTCACCGAAGGTTTCAAATTAAGCAAATCGGCGAATCATCGTTGAGAGAATCTTAGATATGATACGAAAATGCGTTAATAGTGTTTATAAAATTGTGTCAATAACGTATGTTGACAGTTTTTATGTTTTATGAAAGTATAAGCCACAAGTCGGGACTTAAAAACAAAAAGCGCCACATCTAAAAACCGAAGAAAGCGTTCATGTGTGATATAAAAGAAAAGTTGAGTTCAAACGGTTTTTTTTTAATAAAATAAACAGTAATCGTGCCGTGCGTATTAAAATGCGCCGCCATCAGTGAAATCAGTACAACCACGAAAGACTTGTTACACTGACCACTGGAAATAACCCATTAGGCGTACTGACCAAATGCGAGATAAGTAGGTTATCTGCGCCTGCGCTTTGTAGCGGTAGAGGCAGGCTTCGAGGGCCTATGAATTTGCAAGAGATAAACAAACTTCCACCGCTTTACATTCACGCCTTCAATCCTGGTGTTCACATCTGCAGAATGTAAATGTGTACACCGAAGCAATAATTCAGCAACAATCTATACTTAGTTTCATAATAAGCCAGAGCACAGTAAAAAAAAACTAGAAGGCACACAGACCAAAACGCTAGGTTGTGGCGCATTCACACCACTCGTCTGGTTGAGTCAGTTGATAGAACACGCACGAAAACCGACGAACACGGTGACGTTGCGCTTTTGGTTCTGCTTGATTGACTCCATCGACTAGCACCCTTAACTGCCTTACGACTCTTGGTTAAACGAAGCCTGGTGAAACGAAGCATGGTTTTGGTTACTCCTCCCTGGTGAAACAATACTCCCCTGGACGCTTGATACTGTTCACAACGCCGAGGCAACATCACACAATCGCGGTGCTCGAATTGAACAGATGTGTCCCGTCATCTTGTATTCAATACTGTCGTTCCATCATTCAAGAGGTACTGGTTCACAAGCCAGGAAACCTTTTAGTTCTCCTCCAACAACAAACTACTGAAGCTTCAGAGTGACGACATGCTTGGGTAAGAATGACGTCGTAACCAGGCACTCAACACCGCGTAGGAAAGTGCCGTGTGCAAGGTGGGCGGTCTCCGGAGCACGGAAAGGGCGAAAGCGAAGCGCCAGCAGGTGCGGATCTGATCTGGGTCAGCAGGGAGAGTCATTCTGACCCCCCCCCCCCCCCCCCCCGTTTTTCCGGCACACTCGGCGAGCAGTACTTCCAGTCGGCCCTAGATCGGAAGACTGTCGGCCGCCTTCGTGCCTACTCCGGTGAGCGGAACCGTTGTTGTGTGCACCCCCCTGCCTGGTCTCCCGACCCTCTCGCTCCAGCGCTTGTGTTGTCTGTCCTCGGTAATTTCTCGGTCGGTCGGTCGGCGCCCTACGAACATCCGCCTTCACGTCGTCGTTGGCGATCGGGTCATCGTAGTATCCGCTGCTTCGTTTTGCGTAACCGCCTCCCCAGTACACCATCTACCAGAGTATTCGGTTTGGAGATTGGATTGGATTAGAGTGGGCAAAAGGGAATCTTTGAGTGTGCTTCGACCGAAGGCCTGTGCAAACGGATTTCAAGACAACTTCTTGACGTGAGGATTCTAGTGGAACCCTAGAACTCTGCCGGTTGTTGGACCGCCTCTAGAAACCGCCGCAGGTGAGTGTAACGATTCGGGAGATATTTTTGGGAGGGGATTTATGTTAAAGAAGTCAACGCATTTGTCTTTGACCCTAAATGACTTTTTTTTTAGTCCAGTTAATTATTGTCATGCCTCTGCTTCTCGAACCCGGATACACATAATCACTACAATACAAAATTACTTTTCCCTGCGATGCATTTGTCATATGATTTGGAAGGAAACAGTAAAAACGCATGAAATGAAAATTAATATTAACTTTCATTGTAAATCCTCTGTGGGCTAATCAAACAGTATTTATCTTGCCGAGAACTAACTATTCTAAGATTAATAAAAAAAAAGGTTTATGCTTATAATTGTTTTTAAGGGTCTGTAAGAATTGACGTTAGAAAACTGGAAAACTTGGTTTACATGTTTATCTTAAAATAAGAATAGCTTGTATACATTGCGCTTCAAAACATACAATCCAACTCAATATCTCCTTTTTTTTCTTTTTTTCTTTTTGTTTGAACCATACCAACTGCAATACCTTCTTGACTTCAATATTTTTCTTACAAAGTCATAACAAAGCACTGGATGTATATCTTTTGATAATATGAGTACATCCACGACGAAACACTTCGAAAAACGCAAGGACCCAAAGGAGAGATTGCATACCTCTGTGTCCTTGTTTTTCGCGCTGTCTTTTATCTCGAAGATATAACAACTAGCCCATTTGTCCATGTTAGTAATAGGAGTACAAACGCAGCACCATGCATTGAAACAAAGCATTGAAAATTCTTTTTTTCCCGAAACAGTTTTGTTAACTTTTATTCGAAAGTTTCTGAAAAATATATCATGTTCACCGTGATTGGCTTAGCACATACCCTATGTGCAAAAACAGCAAATGTATGGCGAGTCCAGGAGAAGAAATGTTTTGTCCTGAAATAAGAAACTAATACGACAGTATGTCTGAAATGTTTTTTATGAGTTGTGAATATATTATCCTATCATTCGATGCCATTCGATTTTATCTTAGGGCATTTGTATATCGTGTTATAAGTTTGGGATACCTTCCTTATAGGAATTTGCCGGCTTAGTCTTGGAAGAACATACTGGACATTCATCGTGAGAACAGCTTATACTACCAAAGTGTTCTCCAAAGGAAAAAAAGATCACCAGTAGTAATTTAGAAACTTAAGGGGCATGTGTTGTAAGTAAGAAAGTTATAGAGCGTCGTTTCACGATCATTTGTTATTATATTTCCTTCGCCCATTTGTACGTGGGCAGAGCTCGACTATTAGTCCGCCCATCATGCATCACGAATGCTTTGTAGCCCTATTTTAAACATTAAAACCCGTCTCCCCGCCATTATTTCGCTCATTGTGTTAAGTTTATAACATTCAGAAATGTATCAATGGATCTTATATGACTTGCATGGTCATAGAATTCCAATTACAAACTGGGTTTCAGAGTCGGTGGGGCCTTTTAATGACTTTAGCGTGATTAATGCCCAGCACAAATCGCCAACAAATTTAGTCCCACAAAATGTCGTAAGGATGTGACAGAAGTTCGTACCCTTTCGTGACACATGCGCGAAGAGTACTTCCCCATTTAGAGAAGCACCTCGTACAACCCCACTTGTATACGATGCTTTCATAAATGTAGGAGAAAGATTTGTCATTGCGTCAATTGTGTAAATACTTCTGTATCTGAGATTTTGTTGCCATCACCAATTTCAGTGGAGCTCTCCAGTACCCAGTTTTTCTTTGTTTGTTTATTTTGCTGGAAGCGGTGTTTCAATTTCCTATTTAATTTTCCAAGACATCACTTTGCAATTGAGGCTTTGGAGTTTCTGCATCCTGTCACAATGGAGACGTGGAAGTAGTTGGAAAGCTTACAAAACCCTGATATCTGTCTCTTTTGCGGCACGGTTTTTTTTAGCACCAAATAGACTTTCGGATATAGATTTAGTGGTCATTCTTTCAACTTTTTTTCAAAAAAGGATATACTTGAATTTAATATGTTGTATCTATGGCAACGTTGGATATCACAATACTTAAGAGTGAGCAGAAATAACCTTATACGCAAAGTTTTTCTGGTACCACTCTCATAAATAATAAAGTTTGTTAATAATGTAAACCTTTCTATTTTAACTTAACAAAGTCAAAAATAATTAAAATTTTCTTCATGGTTACATTTTCTTTTAGGGCGCGCTCCCCATCACCTAAACTAGGCGGCAAGTCAATCTGATATTTACCACATACCAAACCCAGGGAGTATGAAACAATTTTTCAGTTGTATAATCTACCCAGTTGCTGTAACTACAACGCCTGTATTGAGTTGTAAGTATTAATGGCAGTAGTATATATTCTGCGGTCCATGGCTATCAGCACGTTCAGTGTTGTTTGTGCACGTGAACTTTTGTTGATTTATCTTTGCAATAATGTCAAGATTGTCGTGCTTTTCTTATTATTCGGTATTTATGTTGGTGATTATTTATATATTTATCACACGAATACGGAATATCGCATTCGGATATTTATAATTCGTAGGTTGCACGATAAAGCGAGCGTACTTCGAAAATACGGAGCCCCAATCGGTGTTCATACGTCGTCCCTATCGGACTCTGATGAAGCATTTTGTCCACAACATCACCACCAACTTTTATGCGATGCACTACAAAACCGGCAATGAAGGATCCTTGACGTCAGTCTTGCAAAACGGTAGGGACAGTGCATATTGGCTTAAATTTTGCATTGCCAATAGACTACATAGATGTATCCCCGAAAATGATTAATATTCCCCAGCAAAAGGTGAGAAAGTACCCTTTTATGAAGTGGGAAGGAAACATACGGCAAAAGCAAGACTTTCATTTAATTTTTTTTTCATATTTAGTATATCAGGCAGGCACTTGAGTAAAGCTTGACGAACATATAACTGTGACGCCTTTGATACAGAACCAGGACAGACATCCTTTCCAACCACTGCAGACTTGATGGACGGAAAGCAACCACGTTTCCGTCTTCTCAGTTCAGAAAACAGAAAACAAGAAAGTCCTCAAAACATACCAACCAGGTGCTCTCTTTAACGCAAACGCGAGAAGAAAAAAAATTCTCCAAGAATTTTTGCCGCTGAGAAACTCCGTATATCCTTTTTTTTTTTTTTTTGCCTTTTTCTTCCTTTTATTTCTAGTTAATCTTCATTCATTCAAAGGTGCTGCTATTTTTAGCGGCAGCGGTAATCGGCACTTTCGCAGGAATGGAAATTTGCAACGCTACGGCCACGAGGAAGCAACTGTTTTACTGTTTGTGTTTTCATTTTTGTGGGTAAAAGAGCTCCTTTGAATAACGTCAACGCAAACTTCCACGTTGGGCGTGACTTCGTTCCGGGTCTCAAAAATATGTTTGAAACGGTCGTGCGTTGTGCGTGCCCTAACGTACCGCGAACAAATAAAACATGAGCGTCCCCACCGACTTACCTACAGCCACAAAATAGCGACCATTGTTAACAAAGGTTCTCCGACTAAGCGGCTCCCCTACAGCGAAGACGACTTCATCCTTAAGGAAGCCTTACTTACAATTAAAGACACATTAATACATGCAACAACAACAACAAAAATAAGTTACAGCATTACTTTTTTCGTATAAATGCGCAGCATCCATTCGCCTTTGAGTGCCGTACGACATTCTTGGTTCAAACCTCACCCCTACCCTTTTCAATCTGGATGAGCAATCGTACAGGCGTGCGTTCGTGTATCACTACCACGTGACGCACGTTAAAGATCCCAGGCCGGCAGTTCTGCTGCACTGGTTACATTTATCACCTGCAGCGTAAACCAGTGTCGCTATACCAGAAAGGCAGACCAACATCACACTGCCTAATAAACGCAAACGACAAATGTGTTGCTTCTTGTACCATGCGACCGCTGGTAACTTTCAGCTTAGGCTCCTGAATGTTTAGCGAGGTGGATTCGTCAATTCGTGGATTCATCGCGCACTCATCACAGAAGCCGCGCTGATTGCGAGACGTGCTGCGCATAGTGATACGGTTCTTTGCGCTACTGACTTGAAAAGTATACACCAACACGCTATACACAAACAAGCCCACGCTTACCCATACCAGGTGTGGGCAAAGCGCATGCAAAGAAACCAGATTCGCGTGAGCTGAAACGCCATGCCGACAGCAGCGCCACTACAGCGGCATGACGTCGGAGACGGGCGTTTCTCGAGACCTTTGAAATTCTGGCTGAAGGCTCAAACATAAAAGCGTCATGCTAACGTTACTAGACCCTGTCGATTTTCAAGTTGCAGCGAACGCTTTCCAATGGAAAAAATAGGAAAAATAGGAAACACGTGAACAAAAAGAGGTAGATTATTTCGGATATCCGCTTGATCGGGAAAAAAAACAAAAGAACAACAACGTCAGTGAGTTACGCTGATAAATTCTATCTGTCCTCGCATGAGCTCTTCCAGTGCTTTAGCTAACGAATGTACCAGAGGGAGTGACCCCTGCTTATGGCGTCCTGCACACGCAACTGAAGGATCTACACAGACATCTTGTCTGGCCGAAGTCAACCATTGCTCGGGTCAGCTCTGACAGAACCTCACCTCGGCCTTCCTCGTCGGACATACTTTTTTCCCTTTTTTACGTTCCTTTTTT